AAGGACTATGCTTCAAATTGAAGAATTCGTTTTTATATCAAGAAGTTGGCTTACTAGCAACTGGCCAATGACTTACTGATATCTTCTGATTAAGATAAGTTTTGGCATATATTTAATTAAATGAGCGAGGATGGCAAAGTAATTTCTGCAAGACGTCAGTAAAAAGCGGAATTCACAGTGTATCTAATCAATACCTCTAACGAGATAATGGGGCACTTCATGCCTAATCTTGTCAACTTGAACAAAGGACAATTGTGAACATTTTTAAATGCGTTTTCAAACAAGTAATCGGAGTGAAAACAACCTCAACATACAAATCACTGCTAATAACAGGATCTTCACAAACCCCTAAAGGTGTGCATGTAGCCGTTGCGAAATCGCTGTTGCCACAACGTTTAATAATTACGAACCACTGCTTCGTCATTGTCTTCGTTTATTTTATGAGTTTTGTAAGTAGAAGCTGGACAAATTCGGCAGCAATTGCCGGAAATGAGTCGTCTACATAAAGCACGCCAACTTCGTTGTGTGCAAGACTGTCGTAGTCACTATAGCATTGCCATTACTTAAGGGTATCCGTGGTTACTGAGACGGATTCAATGATGCTGTCCTTTATTATACGCATTTGTTCATCTGTAAAGATCGAAACATAGACCAAATCATAACCTAGTCCGTCAGGCTAAGGTGGTTCCTCTTAAAGATCCGCTATCTTTTCGTTAAAATTGAAACTAATTCCCCAGATCTATTGTTACATACTGCTTTGCGGGAAGCGGGTGCGATTTTCAAATTCACCGGGATCGTTAACTTAGTCATAAACATAGAGCGGCCAAACCTGAGAAAAAGTACAACTATTTGCAAAAGAAAGTAACTTCGGAAGAAGTTTAAATTCATTGATCAGTAATTTTTAAGTAATATCTACTTCAATTCAGTTTGCTGAAGAAAAGAATATAGCTGAAGTGAGCGGTATTACTCTAGGCTATTGCGTTTTATCTAATATAACCACTCTTAAGATTTGTTACACATAAATTATGCACAACATGCTAATGTGCAGGTTAAAATGATGAATTTGAAGTACTTTTATAGTCCTTCATTTCGGCCTTATGGTTCAGCACACTAAAGCAGCATGCCAATCCAGAGTCAGTCAGGTTCTCTCCTCCTGTTTTCCAGACACAGTGAACTCCCCCAGCCATCAACCTTCAATCAGCTAAACTGTCGTTTGAGAGAAGAGTATTTGCTCTTGATGTTTTTGTGCGCATTATAGTAGATTGAAAAACATTAATTTGATTGTTTCTCTCTGGAGGAATGTTGGCAAACGACCGCGTGTGATACACGCAGAGCATCTCCGTCTAATTCCATCACTGTGGGGTTGATAGGTTTAGACAGTCAAGTGATACATGTGAAAGGGAAGAGTGACAGAATGAGACTGACACTGGAGGATCCATTCCCACATCTCGCGTAAATCAAACACACCACACCACGCTAACCATCATAGTTCGGAAGGCTGCCAATTGAAGAGGAAAGTGTGTTGCACTTGGCCATATTGTGTGTGAGAATAGTGGCTGGCTCAAGCAAATGTTATTAGGCACTATAGTTGATTCCTAATTCAAATTCTATAGCACTATGGCTAGCTGAGACCCTAAAATTCGTTGGGAAAACCTCATAAATCGTGTGGAGAGCAGGCAGTGTTAGTGGCAAACGCACATGGGCTGCCAATCAGACAGAGCAACTGCATTCCACACCGCATCTGGTCGTCCTAGTAGTCTTGAAACCAGAACCAAGGAGAGAGCGCATACGAAATATTCCACGCAAAAGCAAACTAAATTTAGCAGAGATCAAATTGTGTTTTTAGAATCACCACACGCAAGCAGCGCAACCGTGAAACTAAATTACGAAGTAAAAGAGTCTGCTTTAACCGGCTAGTCGATATTGTCGCTTGCTTTTTACGGACCCTATATGCCCATTTAATGCGAATTGAAGCAGATCAACAAGGGGAACTATATCCTCTCCATTTTTGAACCGTTTTAGCATCCTGATCCGACCAATGACTAACATGGCTAACGCATCTACGGTACCAAGAAGCGAATTCAGACGCAAGCTGTTACGCTGTTGATATAGTTATGCTCATCCATCAGAAATGTTCGGCTAACTGTGGCGGAAAGATAATATAGCAGGCAGCAGATATTTGTCATTACATAATCTTTCCTACAAAATTAATTAAACTGATGCTATTAAGGATAGAACATGTTAAGGCCTCAGTGCCCATTTCTACTTTAAATGGAGTATTTTGTATGAGTTCAGGAAGAAGCACAAGCTTCGAACCAGAGTTTACATAACCTTATCCAACCACAGCGAATAAGCATGTGGTTATGAAAGTTAGATAATTGTGAATTGTAGCTTGGATAACGCATAGTATATTGCCTGGAAAAGCCCACAATTGTTAGCAGGTCAAAATTGTTGACAATATGTTTACGTCATTAAGCTCCGTATACACTTTGTTACGAATGCTGTGATATAGTATACGATGCTACAAACGCTTTATCAATTTTCTGATTTTTATTTTTGCCTTCGTTTGGTTCTTCTCCTGTTTATGCGATAACGTAAGCATTAAACTTACATGCACAGGCTTAGTCATTTTAATATAATTAATTTATACTTTGAAGCTCAAGCACAGAACATGCTAACAAAATGAACTTCGAGGTTCAAAGAAAAAATAACGCCTTTCAACTTAAGTAGCTGGCGCATTGGAGAAAAAAAAACCGTATTTTGCTTTACAAACTGAGGTAAAAACACATTTAACCATGTCATGTTATGTGTTCTAATTACTCAAAGACTTCACAAACTCTGGGTAAGTGGAATTTCTTCTGAGAAATCTTCATACATTTCTCTTCATCTCTTCTGTCCTTCCTTTCGCTCTGTTTATTTTTGTGCATAGATCATTGCCATTTGTCATAGTCCATTTGAGTAAAACGTCCTACGTAAATGTTGGCACTATTGAGACCTTCGTGATTTTCATGTAATTATCCATAGTTTTTTTTTAGCTGTATCTACTCTACATTTCAAAGGTCTACGCATTTTCCTCTGCGTTACTCAAACGAATGTTTGCTATAAAGACTCTGTCATACAATTGGGAACGTTGTTCGCAGGCCACATTTGCTATGAAAGAGGCGCGATCTATGAAATAATGACTGTTTTCACCTGATGTTTCGGATGCAGTCAGAGGTAGCATCAGAAACGGCTATTCCTAAGCAGGGGATTGCATTCTCCTTTTGCTGTGTAACTGTGACATTCGAGGGATTTGCAGTTCATCAAAAGTGGTTGCCCTTTGGGGTTGTATTTTTCTCGAGTCATTAATCGATGAAAAATCATCTCATGTCTTGGTGCGATGATTGCTCGAACCTCCGTCATGCGGAGTCTGGCGTTGGAACCAGTATAATCTACGCGCTCCTCAAGAAGCTAAGCGCCTGCGCCATGCAACAACTCAGCAGCGAATATGGAGTGGAAGTCTCATTAAATTTTTCAAATAGATTGGGAGCAAAAAAGGCAACGATCATGCGCGTAGCGACTGCACTCTGTTAATCCCTAATCTCCCTCCACAGGAATGTCCCGTATCTGGCAGTGCTTCTGCGGATGGGTGCAAAACTGAATCTCAAAGCACAGGCTAATAAAGTTCTTGTTAAAAGGATCATGCCAACATAATAAACTTTCATGTTTCGACAGATTTACTTCGGACAGTTATGTCTGTGTGCAATGTTATGGACGTTTTCCTTTATAAGTGATTTGTGCCATTGGACTCCTAATGAAGACGCCAATTCTAATGAAATAATCTTCACTGACGAGCTTGCGCAGATCACTAACCGAAATCACTCCTACCGATCCATATTGGGGCTTCTTCTTGGGCCCCGCCATCAGCCGCACAGTAGCTAGTAGTTTAGACAGATAGCATTGCCGAAGAAAACCAGAAGGACTGGAAAGGTCGGTTTTGGCTTCTTAGCCGTAATCAGCTACGTAGTTTGCATTCAGCTGAAAAATCGTTTGACTAAAAGCATAGTTATTGCATCCTCACAACCCTTATATCCTCTGTGGCTTGCCCGACAAGCAGGGAAGCAGCTATCCAAAGGACTAAAATAGATGTAATTTTAAGTGGCACATATAGAGAACAGCCCATCACCTGAGATTGCTTTCATCCAAGGAAAACATGATACAATTTTTTTTATACACGGTATCGTATTCTTATCCAGTGGAGGCATCCAAATAAGGAGGATAGTTAAATTTAATACTGGATACATCTCGTTGACTAAATGACTGTTTTTTTATTTTCTACAAAAAAGTATGTTAACATTAAGTCACACTGAATAGTATTTCAATGTTATTATGCAATAATTGAGCGTAATGTCGACAAACACGTTCAAAAATATTCAGTTATTTCTCCATACTTTCAGAAAAGAGTTGCAAAAAACGATCTATACGTCCATGTCATAAAGGCAGGAGAATAAGCACGAATGTCAGAAATTATTTTAGCATCAAAATTTTCATGTAATTGAATTTTGCACTACTACCATCTTGCGACACAAGACTGTGATTTTTTAGTTAAACGCGGGGTGTTTCTGAATCAAATCTAAGGCGTCAAATTCGGTTAATGAAAACAAAGCTTAGAACATTGAAAACGATCTTTTTTGGATAAAAGAAGCCCAGGAATACTTTCAAAACATTGCCATGCAGATATACTTGGCATTTGTATCCCACTTTCTGTCATTATCAAGGATAATTTTTTCATGGAAAAGTTAACATTAAGACGTTAATACAAACGCACGTGATCGATCGGCAATAAATAGGAATACTTCGAGTCCACAACGATGAACATCCCCTATTTATAAAACATTCAAATATGTACATTTGAACCTTAATGTGTTTATTCTCTATATAATTTACTTGCGTATCGGTTTATAATATAATATAAGTATATGCTAGAAAAAAAACATATCACTTATCGAGCTGGGGTAGTTTCACAAGAAAATTAGGTTGCATACCTGCCAGGCTGGACAGGACAGGTAGTATATTCGAATCCGATCCAACATAAGACAGGCACCCTCGTCACGCACAGCCAGCCGAATCCAACTTTGGTGGACCATGGGTTTGAAACGAATGAGCCAACTTGTCACAGCATCGGACTGCGAAGTATCCGCGCTCCATTTCGTGTCCGATGATATGGTTGCCAACTTCTTGAAGTTCTGAAAAAGATTCACATTTGTTGATTTGATATAAATTGGACCGTACTGTTATTTATGTACTTTGAGTTCTGTGATTTACCATGCATGCGCTGGAATTCGTGCAGCCATGTAAATACGAGTTCATACAATTCCGATCGTATTTTTTCTTAAACTCATAGTACATAACGATTGTGAAAAATGGAGTATAGATATGTCAGTATAAAATTTAATCCATGTAAATGTCGGCTGATTTTATTCTGAACGCACTTATTTTTTATAGCGTAACAAAACCAGTCGAATAATCGTTTAAACACTACCCATTTGAGGTGAGGTGGACACTTCCGCATCCTGAGAATATATTCAGCTAACAGTCACATTTAAGTCCCTTGATATAACTTATTTGTTTACGAAATAAAACGTGACTTAATCGTAGACGTTTAAGATTTGTTCTTTTTATGATGCCCAACGTTGTTTTTATTATCGAAGTTTCGGCGCCTGGTGTTCATGGTTATTCAAATTAAGTGTAAGAGACCTCGCAAGAAGGCAAACCACTTGCGACACTTTCTCTATCGGAAGACGTAATTAAATGCCTATTCACTTCTAGTTTCTAAATTTGCCCCTAACTGAGCATTACCAGTGTTTCAGCGCAAATTACTTTAATTGCCAAAGTCAACTACATTGGAGCAGTGTTGAATGGATGGCATTTTGGAAGCTTTTACAAAAACCGTCCTGATAACATTTTCTTAGCTTCAAAAGAGATTGCCTCTTTACTGTTCACGTACTTTAACAGCGGGTGCTTGTAAAAAATAGCAGGCTCTTTGCCTATTTTTAGCAAACGTCTGTGAATTGGCTATTTGCAAAAAGCGAAATCCCCCTTGACAGCCAAACTACGTAAGAATGATCAAAATTACAAAATTTGTCTACAAACGTGGGCCCCGGACACCTTCTGCTCATATAACGCGAACTACACCTAACTGAAAAAATAAATATATTCCTTTAATATGTGGAACAGTTTAATTACCTGATTAGAACAACAAATGTCATGGCTAAAACAGCTACTCGAGTGGTGTTGAGAAGCAACTTTCGCGGAATAGTTCATAAATTATAAGAGTCAAACCTTGCTGACTTCTGCTATGTTGATGCAATTATGCTCATTCATCAGAAGGCTGTAGTCTGATGTGATCAGAATACAATATCCCAAGCAGCATATATTTCAGTTTAAATAAATTATCCTACCCACTCCATCAAGTGCATAAACGCTATAGGACTCAGTGTCGCACATCTATTTTTTACTCAGTTTTCCGTATAGCAAGCGTCGCACCATATTACACGTTAAAACAGGTGTTTTTCAAATTCAACTGAGTATAAATCTTATTTTCGGCCTCAAAGTCTATATTTGGTGAAAAGGTTAAGTAGTTAGGACTATATGTAGATGACAATACGCCACCGTTTGATGCATTCTAAAGGCAGACTGCCCCCACCGAAACATTTGCATTTGTTTACAAGATATGCTGCAGTGATGGAAACTGTCATTGCATTGGCCAAACAGGCCAAATATTATAGACGCGCATACACGAACACAAACTAGCGGCTCGAAGACAAGACCCAAACCCACGCTTTGCAGCACGCATTGGAGACACTGGCCAAGACATTTGATATTCAAAGAACAACCATCCTTGGCCGAGGAACATCAAAAGCCGAAAGGCTGACGCTTGAGGCAGGGTTCCCAGATGCCAATTCCACGAACAAGCATCTAGATCTTCCTGTGACGTAAAAAGTCTTACGCCAAACAAAGGAAAGATCAAGGCCTAACCGAAAATAAGAATTGCAAACGAAAAAGACCCCACAGCGAACCGGCCAGAAGGGGAGATAGGCTTACTAGGACCCTATACTATGGGGATAAGCCGCCACTCTAATTATTATTAATGAACCCGAGCGACCCCCGACTTCACTGACAACTAATTAGCGTACACCACTATAATGCCTCCCCATCCTTTTTGGTTGCGTTTTCTTACCCGTTGACAACCTAATGACCACTGACAGTCGACTTGTGTATGTCCACTATAATTACCCTCATTTCGGTTGCTGCTCCTTATCGCTGACGATGGACTCGTGTAAAACGTCGTAAGCTCAGGAAAATAAACGAATTTATACGGTGCTGGACAAATCTTCTTTATTATTTAAAATGAATTATTTAGAAAACGTTATTGTGACTGCAAACTTAAATGCACTCACCTTGATAGTTATTTCGTCCTCAGGATCCCATTCAAGTCCCTCAGCTGTGGTGCCCTTTTGCAGGTAGAGGTCAAAATGCTCCCGGCATCCCAGGAGACTGTGCGTCAGCTCGCGGTCGGTGCAGCTGCGCAGCATAAAG